AACCACATTTACTCAGGGCCTTCTTGATGTTCTTCTGCCTCCCTGGCTGCTGTGTCTGTGGGGATGGTGTTCGCTCTGTGTTGTAGCATCCTGATGACACCCAGTTTGTGCTCCAGTGGATGATGAGACAAACCTTAGATACTGATCTGTATGTGTAGGTTTACGGTACACGTCAGCTTGTAGATGTCCAGCTGGGAGAAACGTGGTTATCCCAGCTGGACTTTTGTCAAAGCTGGGAAGTCGCCAAAAGAAAGCTCCAGCCGATCCAGGAGAGAAGGACAACCGCTGCCCAAGCGGTTTCACACATGTACAAAGTCCATAAGTAGCATGTTACAGTTTGAACACTGGTCTATATCCTGTAAAGGTTCTTCTTCTTACAACTGTACTGGTTTTGGCTGAGAGGAGCGAGGCTGGTTGTGCTCTTCAAACTCCTCGAGAAAAAAACATTAGTGTGCAAACTTGTGACTGTGCGACTTTTAAAGACACTAATAATGTACGTTGTATAATAATTCCACCCTGAAAAAGGAAAAGTTCAAAGAAATTATTTAAGCTAATAATTGTCCATGCCTGTTGTCACCTTATATAATTATATATTATTTTGTTTTAACTCTTTTTGAGCTTAAGAAACCACCGAAGCAAAACAATTAAGCAAACCTGTCTGAAGGAAGGCAAAAGTGTATATTTAAATTATTCTATAGTTTTTATGATGTGCTATAAGCATGTGTGCACTTTTATAGAGCTGTTTCCAATTTCGTTAAACTGTGTATAATGACAATAAAGGCTTTCAATTTCAATGTCAATTTAAAAAAAACCGCAGCAGCATTTCTGTGGCAGCTCGATTGGGAAAAACTGTCAGCGATATAGTTTTGCAACCTTTGGTGAAACTGTGTTGACAACGTCTGTAAATATTAGGACACTGCGTCTTTTGTCATCATTTACTTCCAGAAATGCTCTTTCATTTGTTTCAAGCTGTCTCCTTTTTATCCTTTTTTTCTCTAACACAGTTTTTAGAAACCTTTGAAGTATCATTTTCAGTGACACAGACCAAACGAGCGAGAGGAGAACTGTTTTTAATGTCACTCTGTTGTTGCACATGAGTCACATGTTCGTGTTCATTTGTGTGTTCTTTCTTTTGGTTTTGTGTTTTTTGTTATATGTTGTGTTTGTTGTCACTTCTGCTCTAAATGTAACTCAACATGACTGTAAATGTGTCACGGTTTGCCGGGGCAAGCCGTGTGGAGTTGGAGAAAGGACCCAAAAGGCTCTGGTGCAGGTGAGTATTTATTTACAGGAGTGGGTACAAACAGCAATGGTGGGTGAACAGGAAACCGGAAACCTAAACTGGGTAAAACTAACAAAACAAACCAGAAACGAAGATGCAGGGAGGTCCGGGGGAATTACATACAGAGAGACGCAGGGAGACCGAGGGGAAACAACACAGACGAACCAGCAACTACTATGACAGAAGACACAACTTAAATACACTCAGAGAACACAGGGAGATTACACACAGGTGGGAACACAGCTGGGAGTGATTAACGTGACGAGACTAGGGAGGCAAACTGAAAACACTCACATAAGACGCAGACCTACACAATAAAACAGGAAACACCTACACGCAATGACGTAACACACCAACTTAATACAGACTGGGGGACACAGAACATAGGAACATGAACCAAGAAACAGAGGAGTACAAACACCCAAGGTAACCAAAACCACAGAATACTAATAAACTAAACATAAACACAGACTCCGGACCATGACAAAATGAGATTCTGCCTCAAAGATTTCTTGGAGTAAATAACTCTGGGCTCACTAGACGGGGCTCTTTGCTATATTTTGTGGGCGTGGTTTAACTTGTGCTTGTTCATGATACTATTTCATAATAATAATAATCATAAAACACTTTGTTTAGAAGTGTGTGAGCGATTACTGCTTTTCTTTGGATCACCTCCGATTTGTGGCAGTAAATCTTCCTGTGGCACACATTTACAGTGTGTGTGTGTGTGTGTGTGTGTGTGTGTGTGTGTGTGTGTGTG